TTAGATAATTTTTCGAATACCTGATATTAAGACAAATGTATTTTAACTATAAAGATTTTATATTATTAAAAAATTATGTCAATATATTTTAGATTCTGAACGGAGTAATTAATGTATTGATTTTACAATGATGTGTATGTTTTTTTTTTTTTTTTGTGTCTGTGTACAGCATAAGTAGTCGAAATAATGTTTCAATTTCAAACTTTGAGGGTGGTTTCCGATGGCAAAGTGAATATCCTTGGTCCATTATAGAGGTAAAAAGTAAACATTTTCTAACAGTTTTCAAAAAAATCGAGAAATACGAACAAAAAAATGACGGAAAAACGGGAATTTTTACGCAAAACCAGTTTTCGACCAAATTAGTTTTTTATATGGTTGTAATTCAAAAACTAATCACTGTAAATACTTTAAATTTTCACCAAATGTTTATGTGAGTGTTATCTATATACAGTTTAATTTTCAAAAAATTTTTGAAGTTTCGAAAAAAAATGTTGGATGACCAAAAATTTTTGAAAATTTAATGCAAGGTTCCTTATGAGTTTTTCTTATTGTAGCTAAAAAAAATTAAAAATCGTTAGTCACAATTTTTTTTATAAACGTTTATTGTTCAAATATTTACGAAATCTATCGAAAACGTGAAATTTGTAAGTAATTTTGAAGTTGATAAATCATAAAATTTTTTGTGTTTATAACTAAGGATTAAAAATACTACACTATGTTTTCCCTAAGTTTTCCTTCAAGGTAGCTATTGTAAAAACTCAAAGCATAATTATAGGAAAAATTTTAAGTGCGTTTGTATTTTAAATTTTTACGAAATAACATAACGATAACGATTTATCCTCAAACGATTTTAAATATTTGTTAATATTCAAAAAGTATAAGTCATAGATACTTAAAAATTTTACCAGTTATTTTGATTGGCATTTTCTTCACGTGATTTAATTTTCAAAATATTTTGACTTTTTTTGAGCTATTTATAGACAACTGAAATTTTCAATTTTTCTGAAAAATTTTTTTTGAAATGTCGATAAAATTATTTTGGCCCAATCAAAATACTTGAACATTTAATAGAAAGTTCCTCATAAGTTATTCTTATAGTGATCAAAAAATTTTAAGAATACATAGGCACAATTTTTTTTTATTAGTATTTGAAGTTCAAATATTGACAAAAATTCGTCAAAACTACGAATATTTGCAAACTATTTTGTAGGTATAATTCATAAAAAATGTTTGTATAAATAGCTAAGAGTTGAAAATTTAATACAAGATTTTTCATAAATTTAGCTTACAATAATTATAAAAGAATTAAATTTTAGTGTATTCAAGCGATTAAAACATAAACCACGGAAATTTAAAAATTTTAAATTTTCACATTGATTGTACCACAGATTATAATATATATATAATAATCCTACAGTAAAATAATAAAATGTATATACCTATATGTATTATACGAGATGATTATTGTGGTTACGAACTAGATATATTATATTGTTCTGTGATATTATGGTATTTCTTTTTGTGTAATAATATATCTACAATCATTCTTTTGGTATACCAGGTATATCTATGATAATATATTAAGGTATTATAAATTATGATAACTACATGCAATGTTTTTGGAAAAATAGATTAACAATGACTTTTACAAATGCGTCCTAATTGAAAAATAAAATATTTGTTTTAAAATAGAATATATGACAATATTTAAATATAATATATTTTAGACTGACAAATCATCTTCGTTTAGAATCGTTTTTCGTATACAATGATACCTATCATTGCATTCAAATTTAATCTACTCTAGTCCGAGGTTCACCCCACCCCTAATGTACAACAGAGCGGTACCCACTTGCCTGCTTTTTTTTTAATTGAAGGAAAAAGCAAGTTGTTAAAATAATTTTAAGCTTTTGTTATAAATTCAGAAAAAAATATTTCACATTTAGTTCATAAGTTTAATATACCACTCATCATCTGCTCACAGCTGCTCGTGACAATGATCGACGAGACATCAAAACTATATAACGAATACCTCAAGGCTCAAATATAATTGCAGGTGAGCATTAAATCTACGTTTACGAGCTATAATTAGCATTTAAGTTATAGAAACATAATTTCTAAAATAGTTAAATGTTATTATAATAAATTATTAAATCTTTTTCAACCGTGATATAGTATATTTTGAAAAAGTATTAAAGCCACAAGTTAAATCAGTGCCCTAAACTAATATTGGAAATTATTTCAGTAAGTAATTATTATTATGCTCTGGACTTAAATAGAAAGATCAATAATTTTTATTTTTTATCATTAATTCTATTTTAAGAAACCCACAAATACATTTTTTAAGAATATTTGTATTATGTTAGTACCTATGTTCTATATTTTATATACCTATTCACATTTCATTTCACATCTCTATTAATTGACAATTGGTTATAACTTCATAACAATTTATTACCTTTTTACTGTTAAAACTTCAATTTTACATAAATATACAATATTGAATATAACATACAACTAGTCAAATAGTTTGATAATTCGTCGATAATCTATATATACTGATGTACTATAGATAATATACGATATACTTTTAATCTTTATACAATACATGTATCTATAAATGTTAGCAATGTATAAAATAATATATAATAAACAAAAAAATAGTAATACTTTAAACATTTTCAAATTGAATGTATATAAATATTAGATTTAAAACTTTGAAGTTGTATTAGAAAATATTATTGAAAATATATTCTTACACATTTTACTTAAATTTTTTTTAAATTTTTTTATACGATATTATTTTTTTAATAATATTTCATTAAATTAGGTAACTTAAGTAGATACTCAAATAATCAAACAAAAGAATCATAGTGGGCATTAATTATTAATACAGAATAATTCTAACTTTAATAACTACCCATACGACCATACTACCTTAATATGTATATATTAAACTCGACATTATTTACGAAAAAAACCACAATATTTTATTTTAGTTTGCAATCAGGAGCAAATTAGTAATATTGATTTTTTTAAATTCGACCTAAAGCGACTTACATAGTTAAGTTAAATAAACTTAACTATGTATTTTAATGCTCATATCAACTATATATAATATTATCTAATAGAAGCTATTGAATATGCGATATTATAAATTATTTTTTTTGTAAAATCTATCCATAGTATAAAATATCATTTTATACTCTTAAATAATGAAAATAAAATCAACTGCTATACATAGAGGCTAAATATATGTTATTTATTCTTATTTTTGTTTACATGAGCAATTTGCTTATTAAAATTAAATTTGTTTATTCTCAGGTATATTTATGAGTTTTAATTTACAAACATAAAAATTAAAAGAAAATATAGTAAAAACTTTTTTCAATACTAAAATTATATAATTTATAATATAATATTATAAATAATAAGGATCAATTCAAAATTTCTCAGCATTCTAATAGAGGCCACTTCCTATTAACGGATATATTTTAGTTTCCTTATCTTGTATACTATAGAGAGATTTTACTGTGCCAATCTTAACTGAAATTACTAAATTTATTTATTTATTGAATTTCCGATTAAAATAAATAATATTATACCGATTACAATTATTTTACAATTGTTATAAAATAAAAAACTTAGTCACCTCCAAGCTAATAGCTATGCGAAGGGTGGAATTAACAACAATATTATCATTTATCAATAAATAAAAATTACAAAACAATTTAATGAAAATTATCAGCTTCTTAATAATAAATAATAACATAAATTAAGTTTAGTTATAGTTAAAAAAAAGTTTGGGGTAGATAATTACATAAATTATTTTTTCACAGTAAATATTAATTATGTATGAGGAGTTTCCAATAATATATTGTATATATGAGTGAAATTATCAAGTTCAAAAGCTAAAATAATATTTTTCATGTATACCTTACAGAATTATCAAATAAAATTATAATTAAGATCATTAGAATTTTTCCTATACATTTTTATATTATATATTTTTAAAACAATTTTACTAGGCTACGAGTTTTGCATTTTTTATCAGCATTAAATTATTCCTTTAAACGTAATATTAGTAAACATCGATCCAATTCATCTAACAATTTTGTTGGATATTATTTTCCAAGGGGCAAATTTTAACTTTTGCGGTACTAAGTTTACGCCAGTAGCACAACATTTTATCAGATCATCACTTTAATGTTAAACGTGTTTTAATTGATTTGTTTGACAACTTTCAACATTTATTGTACTTTATTTTCACCATAATCTATAGAAAACTTCATGTATCACAAAACTAAACGGGCTTCATAATACTAATTTTTATTTGTTGTCGTTTGTATTTTTTTTCCATACATATATTTGTACATTAAATACACACACACATAATGTACAACATAAAATTCTGATCACTCTATAATAACAGAGTGATTCTTAGATAACACTTTTTTTTTTTTTAAATATTAATGTTTTATTTACATTATTATATATTGTAATTATTTAAATGATTAATTTAGAAACAAATACATTAGTGCTTTAGATGCTTCAGATAATCTATATTATTAAATTATTTATTTTTAATTTAAAAGAATACCGAAATTGGTAAAATTGAATTAAACAGAATGAAAACACTTGGATACAATAATTCAGAAGAACGTAATATTTTCATCGAAGTCATGAGTCGTCAAATGATTATTTTAGAAATGACTTCGAACAACGTTTTCTCATAATTTATTTCTAACACTTTTAACTTGACAATATTTTTAAAGTGTGTATTTTAAAGTACATACTTATTATTCAATGGATTAGATTGGAAATTAAAAAGAAGAACACAATGTTTTCTTCAGAGACGTTTAATCAAAAGAAAACCTCGTAGCAATGTATTTATATTGAAAAACTAGATTCTACTCAAAATAAACATGCAAACAGTAATATCGTATACTTCGATAACCTATATTTAACTATTTCTAACTCATAGATCTAAGAACTCATATCTAGTCCATGTGCGTCCGTCGGTGAACCATCAGTGTGCCGCTTTGATTGAACGATTTGTAACACTCGTCACACTGGTACGGTCTCTCGCCCGTGTGCGTCCGCAAGTGTACCATTAATGCGCCACTTTGATTGAACGATTTGTAACACTCGTCACACCGGTACGGTCTCTCGCCCGTATGCGTTCGCCTGTGTGTCATAAGTGCGCCTTTTTGATTAAACGATTTGTCGCACACGTCGCACTGGTATGGTCTCTCACCCGTATGCATCCGTCGGTGTATAGTCAGTGTGCTGCTTTGAGCAAACGATTTGTAGCACGTGTCACATCGGTACGGTTTCTCACCAGTGTGTATTCTCCAGTGTACCGTCAGTGTACTGCTTTGATTAAACGACTTGTCGCACGCCCCACAACGGTACGGTTTCTCACCAGTGTGTGTCCGCCGGTGTGCCATCAGTGCGCTATTTTGAGTAAACGATTTGTCGCACTCGTCACACTGATACGGTTTTTTGTCCAAGTGCGTCCGACAGTGTACCATCAAATGCCATTTGTCACCGAATAACTTCTTGCACATATCACACTGGTAGCGTTTCTTACCCGTATGCGTCCGCTTGTGTACCGTCAAATTTTTACTGTTGGAAAAATATTTAATGCACACATCGCACTGATACTGTTTTTCACTCACACACTTAGCCAGAAGACTTCTGACGGAATAGTCCATTTTAGTGATAGTACACTTACGGATTTACGTCAACGTCTTCACGAGTGTTTTGACAGTTCTGCTGAATAAAAAATGTTGGTAGACCCAATAAAAGTTAACAATTACTGTATTATTTTATGTATACAATGAACTAGTAAATGCTTTTTCGCGTAATAACGTGGTTACTGTTACATCTTTTGACTATGGACAGAGAGTGTACACAAGCATAGACGATAAACAACTAATTCATTTAATAATTACGTACAACGGTGAGCATAAAACATCCAAGTATAATATATGTATATATGTATAAATAACACAGATAACCGACCTAACAATATATTAAAAATTACTGATAAATATTACCAAACAACCGATAACATATTAATAAATTATACATATATATAACATCTTTCTCTACTACGATATTTTTTTGACATAAAGGCATAGACATATGTAATTAAACACAATATAATTTAATTAATTTTAAAATATTACACAGTTACACGTATAATTTAAAATACACTAATACAACAATAACTACCTACTTTACATTTATTTTATTATTTATAAATGAACCGATTATCATTTAAATTGCTTTTTTTTTTTAATATGTTCGTGCGTAGAAATGTGATTTTACATTAACCTGAACCAAATAACTACATGTCCCTGTTTTTTTTTAATTCGAATTATTTCGAACTGCGGCCTTATCATTTATTTTGTAATTAATGACGTTACCAGTTATTATTCTCGTGTTTAACGATTTCCATAATACTTGGAGATTTTAATACCGACAAATTATTTGGTTATTTTTATTTAGATAGAATATAATCTTTACTTGCTGTCGGCATACTCCAATATTAATACGCAAAAATTATTTATTTTCAATTTAATCTCTTTAACATCTCAATCGGCGTACAATTTCTTCATTGATAGTTTGTTAATCACATTATAGTCTACAGTATAGTCTCATTACGTATGACACATCTGTTTTTATCCCGTATTTCTTAATGATAACTAGACAACATGACCGCCCATCTTTGTAATATAGACAATTCTAGGACAAATATATTTTTTTGTTAAATAAAAAATTGACTTTAATAGTAACTGACCAGTAACCAAAATTAATTTACGTTACAAATAAATATTTATACAATTTCTATACAGTAAAAATTATCTCCAACTTTTCACTCTTAATTTGAGAATAACTGTTCTCCACCATAACTCTAACTGCAACACATAACTAATAATAAGCTCAAGTTATGCGTTATTTTATATTTTACTCATTATTACCGACTGTTATGCGTTTTTCAAACGCAAATTAAAATTAAACGTCTGACCAATTCCACATGATTTTATTTTTTTGTTAAAATTATTCAAAGGTACTAAAACTAACGAAAATATTGGAATAAAATGTTGATAATAGTTAATAAACCAATAAAAGATTTTAGTTGAGCCACATCATTAGGATACAATGCGTGTCTCTTGCATTAATTTTATTTTCATCTTGATGTACACCTTGATAATCCATTACTTAAAAATTATACACTCGAAAGATAAAGCTGAAATTTTTCAAAATATATTTTAACATTATACTCATTTAATTGTTCTAAAATACCACTTCAACATTTTCTTCACATTCCGATCTTCATGCGCCACTAATAATTATGTCATTTAAATATATTTGTAAGTACTTTAAGAAGACCCTTCAAAGTTTTTTTATGACTGACTAAAATATTTTCCTCAAAAGATAATCGATTGAAACGATATCAATCTATATGAATATAAAAAGACGTACGACTTTCCAATGCGACTTGTAATTTCAAATACGCTTTCGTTTATATATATTTCCACTTTCCGTCTACTATAATGAATTCTCTACCCCCCATCAATAACTTGTATTTTATAGAACTATACCCAGTAATATAACGACATATTTTAATATATAATAATTAATCAATAATCAATAATAACATTGTACCTAAGTAAAAGACAAAAATACAAAATTCATAACAGAATAACGAAAGCATGTTATATACTGTGGTATACAATTTGTAAGACCTAATTTATGTTTCATATATTTTATATTATAACTTATACCATGATCGTGTAAATCACTTTTAATTTCACCTATGAAGTATAAAATATTTGATATTATAACTGAGTTTATTGTTACCATTATAAAATAGTTTATTCCACGTTAATCCAATACATCCGAATATAATATAGCTATTTATGAAAACGGACCATCCCTAAACAGTGACCATAGTAGGTTATTCGTGCATTTTGTATTTCGATTAAAAATGTTGTCATTATCATTAAATTTTCTAAATGGATCCAAATGAGTTTTTTACTAATATTGCTCAACACAGACTGGTCCATACATACTTTTAGAGTTAAATCTATAGTATACATATACATATACAAATTAATATAATAATTAATATTTATAGAAAAATAATTAAAAAATCCAAATGGTATAAATAATAATGCACTAAAAAATGTTTGATATTAATTGTAATCTATAACGCACCTGGAAATCACCGTATTTTTCTTTATAACTTTTATCGCAGTAAACCGATCAGAAATAACGCTACAATGAGTAATTATCATTTTTAAGTGATATTTTAGATTTTGTTCATATTAAAAAGTAGGTACCTAATATTAATAAATTACATAAGATTCCATTGTTCATAAATATTTTTATAAATTTATTTATTTAAATAAATACCCCCTTCAAAAAAAAAAAAAGTAAAGAAACAATTTTCTTCCAAAAATGGCTCTAAAAGTTAAAAATCTAAGCAAATTTACTGTTCCAAACGGTGATAAACACCTAAATATATTTTTATATTTTTTTAAACATTTTTCGTTTTGTTCAAAATGAATAACAAATTATAAAATATAAACCTAAACTAACCTTAATATTACTCAAAAAAAAATAAATAAATAAGGTAAATATGCAAAAAAAATACTTTCAAAAATAAAATATAATAAAATATAAAATACACAAAGTATATAAAATATTTTAATGAATATAAAAAAAATGTTTCAATAAATATATTTTATGTAGAAGTAATTCAATATTAGGTATATTATGTACCTTCTAATACTAAAAAAATATGAACCTTTACCTATTACACAACATTGTTTAGATATTATTATAATTAATATCTTCTTTATTTTATTAAAAATCTTCCATTAATACTATTTTATAGTACATGACTACTAAATTATATAGTTAACGAAGGACAGAATTAAATTGTTTTTAATCAAATTAATTATCGACTACTTACATCAAATATTAAGTATTTAAATTTATTACATAATTTATAAAATATCTAGTGGAGTGTAGATATAGTATTAAATATTTTTTTAATTTAATTATTAGTCAATGACTTCAAACAACATATAATATTATAAAAACATAAATCATACAAATTTTCAAAAAACTTTATTTAAAAAACCATTTTTTGTGAACCTACATATATTATACATGAAAATTAACATATTCATTTTTTAAATAAAAACTATTAATTTAGTATAATTAAATATAATTGATAATTAGGCATATATTAAACATAAATATCTAACGCAAATTCAATATAGAGACTTATTAGTTACCTATTAAATTAATCAATTATAATAATAATACGACGTCTATGATTATCTATAATTAATAAAATCCTTGAATCTATTTAAAAATCATGATGAATTTTAGTTATCTATGAAATTATTTTAACATTTTTATAATTTTATTTTTAAAAACCTTTATTAGATAATATTATTTATGTATCTATAAGAATATTGGATTTAAAAAATTAAAAAAATCATAACTTAGTTAAATTACCTACTTATAATGTAGGTATCTATTATAAAATGTAACTAAAAAAATGTTTAATATATATTAACATGATATAGATAAAGTGTCCATTCATACTTATAGAAAATAAAAGTGGTATACATGAAATGTTTGTAAAATATTTGTTTATGATTTTAAAATACCAATAGGTTGTTATTTCCAAAATGGTTAAACTTAATCTAATACCTAAAATATTGTAAATTAAATATCAACAATTATTGCTTACTAATTTCTTTAAGTTTGGATGCTATTATCTTAAAATTCATGTTTTCATATTTCGTATGTTTTTCTCTTTAAATTGCATTAGTTAACATTTTTTTTAATAATCATTAAACAACGAATTTCATGTAAAATTAAGTAGGTCCAATTACAAACTATAAACTGAACTAAGTTAAACTAAATTTTTTTTTATAGATAAAATCATCTAAATATTTTACTTATTTTAAACACAAAGTTCTGTTTTACGTCTCCGATACAACAATACATAGTGATCTTAAAATACAAATAGTTAAAGAAACTGCTAAATACATATTTAAAATACCATGCAAAAGCTCTCCTGCACTCAAACCCATTAGTTATAGCTCTCTCATCTCAAAACAATCTTAATGTATTAAATAAGCGTTTAAAACAACAATAGTGTTGAGATCTTTTAAAATAAATTCATTCTCCATCCCAAGAAAAAATAAATAAGTAAGTATTCATCGAGTAGAGTAAACTAATGGTTCTTTTTCTCCTTTCATACTTTTTTTTCTAAATGTAATTAATATAATACTTTATCAGTTGTACCTACTTAACGCGCATTTTCACAAAATGTATACAGATTAATACAAGATAAGACTTGAACTAGGTACTTTGAACTATTCAAAAATAAAATGATTCACATTTTTTTTTTACATTAAAAATTTAGTTAATTATTCCAAATAAAATCATTAATAAAAATGATGTTAACTTGTGAAATTTGCAACTGTTACTATTCATTCTACGCTTATAAAATAATATTTATTCATAAATTAATTCTAATCTTTTTCTAATATTATACGGGTAAAAAAAAAAAAAAAAATCATAAATAAAAATAAAATAAAATCATCAATAAAATCATCATAATCATCTAACCTAATAAAAATAAAATATATATGAATTCATACAATGTAAGAACACATATGATCTACTGATTAG